GGAATGTGGAAGGCAGTGAATCTGCTGTGCTATTTAATGCTGTTTGCAGTAATAATAGTCATGGCACACACAGCAGTGTTGCAGCTCTGTGGCAGTAGTGAAGATGTTCCAGTCCCTGGTTGCTGCTCTTGGTGCAGAGATGCATAGTGTGGGTTTGACGTCATGCAGGGCATGAAAAGACAGATCTTCCTTTTCAATCCAGAATTCTTTCAGGCGACCTTTGTAAGCCTTCAAGGTTGTGAGAACATCGGGCAGAGTGAAAACCCTAGAAATAAAGTTGTTCTGTTGCAGCAGAATGTGACAGAATGTGCCCAGAGATGTAAGCGAGGATGACTCTGGCATGGAGTTGGAATTGTCACAGGACAGCTAGTCACACAATTCCAGCATCTGCCACACTTTCCTCACGGACTCACCTCCACTGAAACAGTCTGTGAGGAAAGTGTGGGCATCAGGCTGCTTTGAGAAGTGCTTTGATGGCTTTAAAAACCAACCTGATGGTGCCACTCGTACCAGCAGGAGAAGTGTTGGCTGCCAAATGCTTCCTTAACTAGTACTGGGTAAATGGAGCTTGGTTTCCATTCCATAACTTGCCTGTAGGATTACAAACAGAATATACATTTAATATTTGAGCCTTCCTAGCAGAGCACATCATCGTTGTGGTGGGAAGGTGCTCAGCTCCTGCCAAAGCCACCTCGGGGCACGAGGTTCTCCTCCCTGCCACGTAGGTGACTTTCAGGTCTGGATGAGGAGAAACGAGCTACACCTATTTTTAGGAAACCTGATTTCCCAGCGTGGCATTTGTTCTGTAGATACAAATATAGTTTTGGAACTGAAGTGATTGATGTTTTCCTGAGGTGGCATCAGGGTCATGGAAAGTTCCAGAGTGGGTGTTTGTTGCCTGTTCCCTCCCTCTGGTGCTGCTGCTGCTGCTGCTCCTCCTCCTCCTCCTCCTCCTCCTCCTCTCTCCCCTCCCCAGAGCTCTGCATAAACAGCCCTGCCGCGGTGGAATCCGGCAGAGCAGCTGCGGGCTGTGCTGCCAGGGGAGCCTGTCCCAGCCTTCCCAGCCTTCCCAGAGCTCTTCCCCACGCAGAGTTAGCACTCAGATAACTTTGGAAGTGCCAGAGACTGAAGACATGCCCAGTCGTTTCAGACATGGCCTTAACCCATCTTCAGACAACTTCAGGCATTCGGTAGAAGAAGGATATAAGTAGATGAGGACAGGAAAAGCAGAAGGTAGGAGGTTTGTGCTCTTTTTTTTGAAATGTGGTGATTTTTGTTGTGTTAGTTACGAGTCACCTATGTGTGCAATCATCTAGGAATAGGATGTGCCAAAGGGCTGAGCTGGTTAAGGAATTGTCTAAAAATGGGATTCAGTTCTTTTAACTTCTTTCCTAAGCACCTAATTTAGCCCTTTTCTTGTCTCTGAGGGTATAGCAAGTGATGTGTTGTTGGTTGTGAGAACATATTGGTGCCAGTGTGGACTTTTTCAGGCTGCTTTTTGTGAAGAAAAACTCACTTGGGTCAAGAACTTGTACTTTTGGACTCTATTAGAGTTTCATCTGGAATACAGGATAGCACTATCAGTCGTCCTTACTTGATAACTTCTCCTTTATTGCAGGTTATGATGCATGATTATCACAGAAGAAATTCATGTCTATAGCTCTTAAGGACTTTATTACATCATCTTCAAGCCTGATAGTTTTGGAATCCATATTGCAGCTGCAAACACACGTCTGCTTTTGCATTTCCACAAACATCTTCCCTGCCAGGAGATACTGGAACCCAAGTGCTCTGTTCTAACCCAGGGACACCATCAGAGTCTCTGAGGATCTCCCAGTTACAAATTCACACTAACATATTTGCTAGGTGAGTTGATGCATTAGTCTCATATGCAGTAGTTGTGGCTTTTGCTGAAATCCTGCAAATCTCAACCCTTGCTGTCCTTTTTTTAATAAGCACAGGAAACGAAGGTGTATACAAATGCATAATGGTTGTTGTAGGTAGCAGTGGTGTTGCCAGTGTGGAGTTTTGCAGTGGTGAATGGATAAACACTGAAATTATTTTGTGGGAGCCTTGCTGATTTCGTTACTGATCGTGGCAATCCACTTTTTCTGATTTGAGGTTTCCTGGTTTAGTTTGAGCTTGAGAATTTTCTTAAACCTCAGATGGAAATACAAATTGTTGCTGGGAACATCAGTAGTATCCCACTACACTGTCCTCTGAGCTTTTTGAGGAAACTGTGCTTTTGTGTGTGATGTTACCAGCTCAAACTTACAATTCGATTTTTTAATTTAAATTATTATTTCAAATTCATTAGGTCACCTCAGGTTAATATTTTACAAGTCTTACCTAACTTCCTATTTGGAAGGTGGACTTTTCCTGCAAGTGCTTAACTAAGGAAGAATCAATTACAGGAGCTATAAAATAGCTTCTAGCTTGGAAAGTTATTTTCCTGAAGTTATTTTTCCAGTCTGGGACCAATTTCCCTGAGGTGGTGTGTTTGTCTCTGGGCAAGATCTTCAGGGGAAGTTGTTTTACCTTTGAGATGACTTAAAATCCTCTTTTTTGGTCCTTGTTCAGAGTTTATTTAATTCTGTCTGGTTTGTTGGTCGTAATGTTCTTTCATGACTTCAGCTAGTCTAAAATACTGAGTCATTACCCATAAACAGAACAAAAAAACTTCTGTAGCTGTTCTCCTTCAGTAGTTACTGTAGATCCTCAGTTCTTCCTTTGCAATGTTCCTGGTTTGGGGTCTGTGATGGTGAGTGGAAAGTGGTGCTGAGTAATGATAGCTGGTGGTGAACCTACCCCATAAGATCTTCATGGAGAGGTGTGAAGCTTCTTGTGCAACCCAGTGGCTTCCAGCATGCTCCCACAGAGCTAGCCCAGGTTCAGGGTGTGCTTTGGAGCCTGGTTCCTGCTGGAGTGATGGGGGTGAACCAGGAGCTGTGGCCTCAATCTCTGGGAGTCATTAATCCCTTGGTGTTTGTTTGCAAACACCGCGTTAATTGTGCTCCTGTGCCGGTGCCTGAAAACTTCATCCGTCCTGTTTGCAGCCAGGCCAGCCCCAAAATGATTCCCAATGGGTATCTGATGTTTGAGGACGAGAACTTCATCGAGTCATCCGTTGCCACACTGAATGCGGCAGATCGGGCGCCGCCCGCCTGCAGGTACGCGCGTCCCGCGGGCCGGGGGGCTGAGCAGGCAGGGGTGCTGGTCAGCTACTGCTGTGTCCCTCGCTGAGGGCGAGGGGGGGATCTGGGAACCTGGTTTTTCTGGAAAATCCACACTTAAAAGCAATCGGGTGCACTCCAGGAGAAGCAGTGCTGATGTTGTTTTTCAGCTGGAGATGACCGATTTGAGCCATGGCTTGCGCCTGGGTAGCAGCCCCAGTGTAATGTCTGTATGCTGCTAAAATAGAAATGTGGTGACAAAATCCCTTACCAGCTCCTTGTGTGTGCTTCCACTGAAGGTGTGTGGCCATGAGATGCTGGCACACCGAGCTGTGCTGGCCTGCTGCAGCCCATACCTGTTCGAGATCTTCAACACCGACAGCGACTGCCACGGCGTCTCCCACGTCAAGTTCGACGATCTCAACCCGGAAGCTGTCGAAGTTCTGTTGAATTATGCCTATACTGCTCAGTAAGTGGTTTGCACAGAAACTAGGGGAGGGTGGGCTTTAATTTAAAATGTGGAGGTAATAAATTGCTGTCTCTAACAGGTTGAAAGCTGATAAGGAGCTGGTGAAAGATGTGTACTCTGCAGCAAAGAAGTTGAAGATGGAGAGGGTTAAGCAGGTACAGTCCTCAGCTCTTCCCCAAATTCACTCTGCCCCCTCAGGCTGACAGCATTTTGCTTTTTGGTGTTAGTGAGCCCAAAACTGGTGGTTCTGTGGCAGAAGTGCTGAGTGTGAAGCTCCTGTAGATGCCCATGAGCACTGTGCTGGTTTGGGTGCCATCACTGGTACGGCTCCTGCCTGTGCTGTGCTGGGGGTTCCCTGCACATACAGTGTGTGTGACTGCACCTGGGCAGCAAAACAGCTTTGGGCCATGGCTGGTTCCTGACCTTCAGCTCTGTGGACATGGTGCTGTGCTTGGTTGTGTTGGGGGCATGATTAAACCTGTAAATCCTTGGAAAAAAGAAGAATCCACACCTGGATATGAATTTGGTAGCACTTGACTTTCTTGCCACGAACAGAGAAGGGAATTGGGATTCTTGCCCTCACCTGTGCAGAGCAGCAGCTTTGGAAGGTGTTCTGTAGAGAAACTTGGGGTCAGTGTGGGGATCAGCAGCTTCCAAATGTGCTTGATCCTTTCCTTTAATGTCTGCATATTCCTGCAGAAGGCAGCGTTGGGTTCCCAGCTCCGGGGAGACTGTTCTGCGGTTAGAAACAGCGGTTGCTGTGTGCTGGGAGGGATGATTCAATGTACCAACACCTCACCTGCTTGTGAACTGAGGTGCAGCTCTTCCCCTCACAGGTGTGTGGTGACTATTTGCTCTCCAGGATGGATATTCAGAGCTGCATCTCCTACCGCAACTTCGCCAGTTGCATGGGAGACTCACGTTTGTTGCACAAGATCGATGGCTACATCCAGGAGCACCTCGTGCAGATCTCAGAGCAGGGGGAGTTTCTCAAGCTCCCACGGTTAAAGGTTAGTTTACCTTTGTAGAGTTCCTTCTGGTAGGAGGTTTCTGAAAAGCAACCCAAGGAGCACTGGGAAGGCTTCTTTTTTGGGGAAGGAAGACTTGGTGTACTGACTAATGCCACAGTGTGGAAACTCTGGATCTGTGTGATATTTGTACTGCTGTGGACCTTAGCTGTAGAGAGTACACACTGCCACCCTTGCTGAGGGCAGCAGGGAACTGCAGCTGTGCTCACACTTCTGGTTCCACAGACCAAAAGCTGCTCATGGGTGTTTCCTGGCTCCGTGGGAGAGTCTTGTTGCTGTGTGAGGTGCAGCATGCTGCCAGTACCAGGGTCGTTCCCAGAGAGTAAATCACCCTTTCCTCTTCTCCCTCTAGCTTGAAGTCATGCTGGAAGACAATGTTAGCCTACCCAGCAATGGCAAATTGTACACAAAGGTAATCAACTGGGTACAGCGCAGCATCTGGGAGAATGGAGACAGCCTGGAAGATCTCATGGAAGAGGTTAGTCTTCAAGAAAATGGGATTAAGCATCATTTAAAAACAAAGAAACCAAACAAAAAAAAAAAGCCAATATGAAGGATGATCCCTTTTTAATTTTTTTTGTTTATTTTTTTCATTTTTTTAAACTGTGACCCTAAAGAATTTAAATTCTGCTGTAGGTACCCCTAAGCTGAGAAACTGGGGGGGTGTTCAGGTGAGCTGAATGAACTGTTCAGTCTGGTCTTCGCTTTCCTTTTTTGCTCACTGTTGCTGTATAGTACCCTCAGAGTGGCATGGATCTTGCTCTAGATTTGGGGAGGTGGTACTGAGACTTGCCTTAGATTCTTGATGTTTTCCTTTGCAGGTTTTGCTTGTAAAGGCACAGTAGGTAAAAGCTTCTAATGGTTGTTCCTCCCCATTGGTTTATCTCCCCATAGGTTTATTAACAAAACTAGGATACCAAGGCTGAAGAACCAAGAAGAAACCTCAAGTGTATTGACACGTACAGAAGCAGCAGTCCTGCCCCAGTGCTCCTAAGAAAATCCGCTGTGGGCAGAGAGCCATGATGATGATTTAATGGTGTTTACTTACTCCTTTACAGGATACTTTATTTTCAAAGTTGTGTGTTATTAAATGGCTTTGCTCATGAATACGAATAGTAGATGTAGCCTGGGCAGTGTTGAATGGAAAAAAAAATTAGTGGGGAGTCTAAATTTTTGATTGGCTACAGAAAAATGGGACTTCACCAAATCTCAGGAGACATCAAAATTTTCCAGGTTTGTTCTTGCAAGCACGAAAGAGCTTCAGAAACACTTGTATAGGCCAAAGTACATGTTGATGCTGTCATGTATCTCAAGTGTGTGTTTCCTCTCGGGGAAACTCATTTTTTAAAAGCTTTGATCATGTTGAAATTCAGATGCATTTCACTGAAACAGCTGCATATGATGTTCAGGGGTGGACAACAGTTTCCTCCAGAGCTTGAACTTGTGTTGTCTTCCCTCATTCCCATGCCTTTCTTTTAGAGTCCACTGTTGGCTCCTCTTAACCTTTTTTTGCTGGAGATAAATATGTGTGTTTTTCAAAGCAGAAAACTTGTGTGCAGGGATAAGGCAAATGCTTGCATGAGACTGTGAATTTGTGTAACTCTGCAAATTAATGTGCCTTTTGCTTGTCTAATGTTTCTGTGCTGGAAAAACAGCAGAAGCCCTTGGAAAAATGAAGATTTCTCTCAAGCTGGGGAAGTAAGGAGCCTCCACCCCCTGTTTGAAGATTGCCACCATGACATCTGCTTCCTTTTAGTTTTGTTGTGCTAGCTGAGGGGAGCTGCCTGCTCGGCGTGGGTAACGAGCCTGGAGCTGAGGAGCACTGCAGACATAGCCACATGGGTATTCTGTTGTTGTTTTTGCAGGTGCAAACGCTGTACTACTCAGCTGATCACAAGCTGCTTGATGGAAATCTGCTAGATGGACAGGCTGAGGTGTATGGCAGTGATGATGACCACATTCAGTTTGTGCAGGTACAAATTGCAGACAGTCTCAGGTAACCCCGAGTAGACTGGAGCAGTTTACAGCACACCTGAAGTCTTGTGTCCTGGTAGCAGAGAAAGCAGCAGTAGCTGTAATGGAGGAACACACCACAGAAAGTGTCTGTCTTGAGGCTGCTGGAGGAGAGGATGAAGTCTCTGCTGCTGGTTTTGGGCAGACTGACTCTCAGCCTTTGCCAAACACAGTGTGCTGGGTTTGGCTTCAGAATGAATCTTGGCTGTTGGAAGAAAGAAGAGGTAGACAAGCACTCAGCTGTGGGAAGTCAGCTGGGGCTTGGTAGAGAGAACCAGAGGCTGTGAAGACTCAGGGGCTGCTTGGCTTGTGGTGGGGAGTGTGGCTTTTCAGTTTGGGGCCACAGAAAAATTCCAGGTACAAGTTCCAGTCCTTTCCAGCCTGTTTGTGTTCAGCTGCACTGGCAGTGTGGCTGCCACATCTCTCTGATCTAGAGATACCAATGCTTTGAATACAGATCATTCTTGTGCCTTCTGAGAGGTGTTTCTTATGGTTTTAACTTGTTTCTAGCCAGGTATAGTCCTCCTCAGCTCCTGTAAACCACATGGCTTAGCACAGTGGGGGCTGCCTAAGGTACAAGGAGTAGAAAAGGACTAACAGGTGTAAATTGTCACTTGCTTTAGACACAAAGTTTGTTCAGACTCACTGAATTTGAAGCAAATGTGATGTTTTACATCACCTGCTGCTACAAGTTTGCTTCTAGAAATGTTTAGCTAATGTGTATGTGAAACACTGCCCATGGGTTTGAGAAGTGAAATAGAGAGGAGATCGAAGAGGCAGATAATTTTTCCAGTTTCTTAATGGTTTTTAAGCCTTCACAGGCTTCTCCATCTTTGTGTGCTACTCCTTGCAGTGCTTAGGAGCAGAGGTGAAAGTTGAGAAGTAAGGGCAGGAGATCTCAACTGGTTTTAAATCCTTTCTGATAAGAATTGCCAACCTGAGACATTCTAAAAGGCTGAGAAAACTTAACACCAGAAAACCCCTAGATGCCAGGCCTGGAGAAACTCTTAAGTTTGAAATTTTTCAATTCCAAGAGTTTGTGTTTTCTTTTACTGTTGAGGCAGTTTAAAGATAAGAGAGCAAGTGGTTAATGGGATGAAGATTCAGTAATAACAAAAAGACTGTCCACAAAGGAATCTGTTTTCATGGTGAGCTGAGTTTAGCAATCCAGCTCCTCTGTGTGAGGTTATCTGAGTTAGGTGATGTGTTTCCCAAGTCTTGTGACAGTTTCCATGGAGATGAGGCTCCTGGGAGCTGTGCAGACACACAGACTTGGGACTGTGGTCACAAACTGCTGCTGAACAGAACGGACAGCACCATAACTTCTTGTGCTCCAGCAGAAGCCTGAGCAGCCCAGGCTGCTGTGCTGGGAGGGGAGGTTTGGAGTTGGTTCTTAATGGAGCAAAATAATGTAAGCTACAGTATAAATTTAATTGAAGATGAAAAGAAGGCAGAAATCTCCTGTTAGTGGGGAAGTACCAAGGGAGCAAAATCCAAGAAACAGCTAATCTGAGCACAGAGAGGAACTGAGGCGAAATTAATTTGTCTTTGGGGAACGAAGAGAATAGTTAATTCACTTCCAGATAGCATTATGTAATTAACTCAAGTTCCAGAAGCAGAGCCTGGTGAGTGAGCTGCTGGTTTCTCACTCAGCTTTGCAGCTGCAGGTAGCTCTTCCTTCCATTTGTGAGCCTGGATAGTGTGCAGTCCTCCAGGGCTGTGAGGGACTCCTGGCCTGACACCAGGAGGATGAAGCTGCAGGCACGGGATGAGATGAGCCCCAGGAGGAAGGTGTAGGGTGGTTTTTGGCCACTGGTGCTGGGTAGGCAGATGTTCTGCTGGAAACAGAGGTGTGCTATAAATGATGCTCTGCGGAGGTGGCAGGCCAAGTGTTCTCCTGAGTAGCTGTGGTAGCTCAGAGAAGCAAAGGTAGAAGGAGGTGTAGTCTCTGGCTAGGTTGCTGTAGCTGCCTTTTGGTTTTGCAGAAGAAGCCACCCCGTGAGAATGATCACAAGCAGATCAGTAGCAGCTCCTCTGGAAGTCTTTCTCCAAATGCTACTGTTCAGAGTCCTAAACACGAGTGGAAAATCATTGCTTCAGAGAAGACTTCGAGTGAGTAACAGGGGCAGGGTTTGTGTGACAGACCTGTCTGGTGTCCTGTCCCCACCACCTCCTGCTCCCTGGGGATTTCCTTCAGCAGCTCTAAGCAATGCACCAAGTGCTTTTTCTTACTGATGGTGCGAGTGCAGTAAGGTGTGGGATGTTCCTAATGCAACACTGGGATCAGGTACAGCTCCATTCCTCATCAGCAGGGACACTCAGATCCTTGGGGTGTGGCATGGACCCAGAAGACCCTGAGGAGATTGGCAGTCTGACTAATTACCAGATCTATTTTTGGGGTGTATCATTGACCCAGAAGACCCTGAGGAGATTGGCAGTCTCTGACTAATTCCCAGACCTATTTGTGGGGTGTATCATTGACCCAGAAGACCCTGAGGAGATTGGCAGTCTCTGACTAATTCCCAGACCTATTTGTGGGGTGTATCATTGACCCAGAAGACCCCGAGGAGATAGGCAGAGCTCTTTGCTCTGTGTGTGCAGGGAATCTCTCCTAGCACATCTTTAGATTGCTGCCTTAGATCCTTTGAGCACTGCTTTAGAATCTGAGACCACATTTTTCAGTAATTAACACTTTTTCTAACGCTTGGAGAACCAGTAAGCAGAAAAACTCGGTAAGGGGAGAAGCAGAATGCTGTTGGGCACTCCCCTCGGGTCACCTCCAGCCTTACAGCCTGTCTCTCCTTTTCTCCCGGCGACAGGTAACACCTACCTGTGTCTGGCCGTGCTGGACGGGGTGCTGTGTGTCATCTTCCTGCACGGCCGGAACAGCCCGCAGAGCTCCCCCTCCAGCACCCCGAGGCTGCTCAAGAGCCTGAGCTTCGAGCTGCAGCCCAGCGACGTGGTGGAGAAGCACATGTCTCCCATGCAGTACGCGCGCTCGGGGCTGGGCACGGCCGAGCTGCACGGGAAACTCATCGCTGCAGGTGAGGGAGGAGGGACAGCACAGCCTCGGGGGGCACTC